AAATTACTATTTTCGATCGAAGTTAAGAGTTTCTTTTGTGGACCACGAGAAAGAAGAATCCTATCTACGTAGATATCATCGTATTGTTCCTGACTCGAGAAACTCTATACATTTCGTTACAATTACAAACTTTGAATAACTCAACAATACATATTATCTTAATTCTAACAATTTTTTATTCTCGACAAAGAAGAATACTTCACCTTATTTCAAACAGAAGAAATAAATCTAAGACATTATTTAAACGATGCTGGCCATAGAAATTTACAAATTAAAAAAAAAAAAAAAAAAAAAGCGAAACAACAAGAAGAACGATGATGACACGAAAAAGAAGTATAATTCCATCGCATTATCTGTATATTAAAAAAGTTACAAGTTATATTTTTATCTGCAATTTTTTTTAACTTTTGTATTAACACAAAGATCTGATCTGACGATTTCCAACTTCGTCCATCAATTCAAGCATCAAACGTCAGACATGTGCAGAGAGAATAATATCGAACAACGAAATTTCGATTGTTGCGCGTGCAACAAATCCGGGATCACAGATTACTCCGGTGATTGTTGCGGATCGTTTCCGATAAACGTCCGTATACCATAGAGGATACTGGTTAGGCGTTGGCTCACGTTGTCGGATATACAGTATAACGGGCTTAGCTTTGACAATGGCGCCGGTGCACAGTCGAGCCACAACAAGTTGCCGTGTGACCTTAATGGACTTTCGATTGAATTCCTCCGGAGCAGAGGGAGACGGACATCTCCCGTGATGGACAACCGCATCGCACACATGCGCGTACGTGTGTGTATAAGAAGAGACGCGTTTCGATTCAGGACAAGATAAATGTCCGGTTATAATGATGATTAAGCATGGAAAAAAAGATTATTTCGATCCTTCCTTCCGATTTGTTTTTGTTTCTAACGATGAGTCGTGATTGATTTTGATAATTGTTCCCAAACAATTCGAGATTTTGACCGTTGATCGATGAAGAACAAGTGGGAGAAATCGGGCAATTTTTGTGAGTGAACAATTTTTCGAAAATATTCTTCTGGAAAGCGTAATTGTTTATAAGAAAATATTTTTCTGCGTCTTTTATTGGTAATCGGGTAAAAAAATTGGCCAATTTCTGCCTTCGTCTTAATTTACGTCCTTAATTATCTACGTGTTCTCGATGATAGATGGAATTTAATGATTGGGAGACTCGTCTGATATGAATCTTCATTGTTGAATTTGCGAAAATTCGTTAAGATAATCTAGCAAATACGTTCAAGAATATTACAACTATAATTAGCATAAGTAGGATTTACACGAGCTTGTTGGAAATGATGACTATACATAGGATGCTTATAACGAGTCCTAATATATCTTTAATTACAACGATCCAGAGGTAATTGAACTTTCCAAATAGATACGATTAATAATTCATCTTTGCCTTGAATCTTTGGCCACGATGTAATAAAATTTCCATGATAAAATAACTCGATTGAATACAAAACGTTACGTAAATGTTGTATAGCAATTCTATTAAATAGTAATCGTAATTCTATTAAAATCAGGAAAAATTTAAACCGCTCTAATTCCGAAGATAATAATTTTCGATTAAAGAACGAAAGACTATTGGAAACGTCGAAGTTTGCTCTTTAAAACGCTTCTTCATTTATCCCGATACAACTTCCGGTTCCCGAGATATTCTCGTGTAGAAGAAAAGATAAATTTCAATTTATCTTCACTCTATTAAACTCTATTAAAATTAAACAAAATTTGAATCGCTATAACTCCGAAGATAATGAATTTTAAACAACGAGTGAGAGATCATTGGAAGTGAGGAATCTTCTTCTTCAAAATGCTTTTTGAATTATTTCGATACGACTTCCGGTTCCCGAGATATCGTCGTGCAAAGAAAAAGGTAATTTTTAATAGTTTACCATCTCCGTCTTTGTTGCTTATTCGACTTTCTCGCTCGGCACCTCGTCTCACTGACCTATCCCAAAGTCTAGACAAAGCGACACACGTGATTCTTGGAAGAACGTAAACACTTCCAGAAAAAGATATAGGTCACTGGGTCGCGGACCCATTCATGAACTCTGCGCTACGACGGCATCTTTGAATCGTCATATCTTGACAACCGATCGAGATATTGGGACGAAACAAAAAAGGATTTTAATTGCATGGTTTCCTCTATTTCTCGACCGGGTTTCGATGATAAAATTTTTCTTTTTTATACGAAAAATCACAAATCTCCTCTTATCGCGTTCTTACGAACGCATACGTTTTACAATAATATTAAATCTATAGATATCATTCGAATATTTTGAATACTTGTTTTTAGCAAAATTCTTATCCGTGCGATGTTCAACAAATTCAAATTACGATTTCGTATCGCTGGCACGTAGCGAGGGCATGCAAATCGATTTACGAATTACCATTTCTCCATATCGAAATCCATATACGAATAACTTCCGTCCCTTCGATCCTGAATCACAACATTTGCATTCTTTCAATGAGAGGGTTGGGATAATCCAAAGAAGGAAGACACAAGAGGAGCGTGAGAAGGGATTGCTCTCGAGAATAACCAGGAACTTTTCTTGGCCAACTCGATAAACTCCACGGAATCGCTCCTCCCCCTCTCCCTCCTCCTCCTCTGCCATTTTCTCGCCTCGAGAATCTGAATCCTCGACAGCCAAATCTTGGACCAAAATTCTTCTCGACCAAACAATTCTGCGAACTTGTCGATTCCCAATTGTCGGTCTTTTTCTCCATCTCAAATTATCGAGAACAGGGAGGAGCCATTTCCGTGGAATGACAAAATGGAAGAAAGGAACTGAAGAGACAATAACGTCGAAAACAACGTTTAGGCAAACAGATCGAGAATGTTCGACTGATGGATTACGATGTCGTCGTGTCCAGAGACAGAGATGTAAATCATGGAGACGATGCGTGTGCAACAGTGACAATGAAAATTTATGCGAGAACAGCTCTGTGTGTGTGTATATGTGTGCGTATATATGAACAGGGATGTTGAACAGGATTCATAGATTACACATGCTTTCTGAATGGGGATGATGTGTGAAAAGTATATATGCACCCGTTCGTCACATCATTTTCCACGATGTGAAATTTTCTGACATAGTACGCGTGTATACTTGGTAGAAGTATATACATAGAGAAAGAGAGAGAGATGATTCGAGACACGGTCAAGAGATTCGCAAAGAGATTCCCTCGAGGGTTTACACTGTTGGGTTTACAAGAGTACTTAATAGAAAGTTCATTTAAGAAGATTATACGAATGTTAACTGTTTAACAGTGTGTTACAGGCCATTGAGATCTAAAGATGTCTTCTTTATACTTTCTGTTTTCAATTTACAATAATTATTAGGAGGTATTCTTAAGATTGTTAACAAATGTTTGTTTGTCTTTCGTTATATTTTTTTAAAAGCTAAAAGAGTTCATTTTTAGATTACGAAGTTCTACAACTTTTTTCTGTTTTTTTTTTTTTTTTTACTTATTTCTAGTGATGTATGATCTCAATATTACAAAAATAGAAAAAAATCAGTGTCTCATTTTTGCTTTATAAGATTTATAAGATCATATTTAATGATAAGATTTAAAAAATTGGAAACTTTGGCGAAAATATTAATGTAATGATTTTGTTATATTTCTTCTACCAAGTATATTTTTTCTTCAATATATCTCGAAATTGAATCGATCATGTGTAGATCAATCATTGAAAGTGTTCCGTACTAAATTCTACCCGTGATCATTTCTACAAGCTATTCTCTTCGATCAACACAACTCTACTTTCGTCGAATAACATTTACAAATTTACAAAACGTTCCTTAAGAGCTCGCTCTTGAAAAACTAAACCATTTCGACTAAATTCACGCAAGTGCAACACAGTTTGCCACGAGTATATTCGACGAAAATTGTCACATCGACAAGTGCAGTCTACGTGTACGCACGGTATTTCGTGTATTTTTGCCATGATCGGTGTCACGGGGGACAAACGGAACGGAATTTTCTTCCTCCGATTTCAGAGCTGGATAAACGAGAGAAGAAAAAGTAAATAGTGACAGAAGAGAGAAGCGGAGCAGTAGCCGAAGAAAAGAAACGAAAAGTAAATAAGGAAAGGAAATATATATTTGACACGTTCATTGCTATTAAATTACTTTATACCAAATATACTTCACATATCACAAAGATTGGTAGAGATTGATAAAAATCAAAAAAATTCTCTCCCGATATTTTTTGAAAACTTTCTACTCGACATTCGATTATTATATACGTTTCATCTACATTCATCGACCGAGTTCGTGCGCAATGAACGTGTTGAAGTGGAAGCTCGTAGGGAGAAGAAAACCAGCTCCGCGTTAACCGTGACACCGTTTTGCGAACATAGAAAAATGCGAGGAACGGATGCATTCCGACAAATTTGCACAGCCAAATCACACAATATATATATATATATATATATATATATATATATGTATTATATATATCATAGAATAGAATAATATAGACATGACAGTTAGTACAACACAGCAGCAGCCTGCAGAGCATAAGAGACCGAGATGATGAAACGAAAAATCGAACGGTCACAGATTAAAAACAGGAAAAAATATAATGGAATATATGAGTATGAATAAGAAACACACACAAATCTATATGGCGTGAAACGATAAAACACAATGGTGCTCGAGAAATGGCGGGCAACATAGATGGTTGAATGATTGGGTTAAAAAGTGAGGTTATGTCGCGCGCATGACAATTTCACAAATGACAAATGTTGATATATGTAGGAAATAATAATAGTAAGAGTAATCATAATAATAATAAGAGTACATCGAGGCACACACAGGTGAGATAATACGCACAATTATATGTATCATGATAAGAAGAGAAATGTATTAATGTAATCGAGCGCTGCACGTTTCATCGTTTCGTTGAACGGAGAGGGGGTGCATAACCGGTCATGGCCGGCGGGCACAACGAGCTGGCCACAAACCTGTAATGGCGATCTTCGCGGACCACTTGCTGGTACCGTCTAGAACCGACTGCTTCACCGCCGTCATGTGACCCGTATGTGCTTCCTCGTCGACCCCGAAGACTGACCTAAACTCCGACGAGACTTTCTTTCACATGAGCTGTGCCAATGGCCTAGATCTCGTCCTACCTGTGCTCCACTCTTTTCTCATTGCATTTTCCCCCGTTCTCTTTCTCCCTCTTTCGCGCGAGACACTCGTTTCTTTAACCCTCTACCCCTTTTTTCCCCCTCTCTCTCTTTCTCTCTCTCTTTGTCTTTTTTTTGCCCGTGTTTTCTTCAAGCGGTTTTCATCAAGCGTCACGTGTAACGAGCAATTGCATCGCAGAATAGTCCATCGCGTTAAAGGTAAATGGGCTAATTTCTTTCCTCGCTTAGTTCCTCTCTCTCTCTCTCTTTCTCTTTTGAAACGGATCTTTTTGTTAAATTTTATTTCAAGTTTTTTTCTTTTTTTTTTTTTTTGATGGACCATGGACCAGAATTTATTTCATTCTCTGTAACTAAAAATTCTTTTATTTTCTAATTTCTATTGTTTTTTTTTTGTTTTGTTATATATTTGTTAAATATCGTGCTACGTTACATGTGACGCTTTCCACAATGTTTCCCGACCAGATTCTTTTCTTACGTGTATGATTCATTCGAAAGTGATCGAATATATTGGCAACGTTTCCAAAATTTATAAATCATCGCCGATCTATGTGCATTCAACTTTACGAACGAATATTTTTCGTGGAATGGAAAAATATTTTCGGTGAGCACACATCCACTTGTAATCAACGCGTATATGCCATCGATCAATCCGTTAACGAGGTCGTTGATTGTTCCATGGCACCGTAACTAAACTGTCCTCCATCTATTTTCGACCTTTCGAGAATCATACTGGTGGAGCTATATTGTTTTCCTTGGTTAAAATATTCTATCTACCACTTTTTCACCATTTCTTTTTTTATTAATATAAATTATTTAGATTTCTACAAAGCATTTTTAATTTTAATTTTCGAAGTAATAATATATTTTAACGAATAAAGTGAAATTAGATAGTAGATTTTAAATAAGAAGAGAGGGGTAGCACAGAGTCATATTTTTTCATAAGTTAAAATATTCTATTGAAATATTTGCAGAATCTAAAGTTTTATCCTTCTTCTTATTTATCCGATTCTATGAAACAGATAAAACTAACCTTGCTCAAAAAGTAAAATATATTTTGAAAAATTTTTTACCGAATAAAGCCAAAGTATTACTATTTTTTATTTCCCCTTGTCGAAATGTCTTTTATTTCAAAACATATAACGATCAATATTTTTAAGAATCTACCAGGAAAAACAATTCAATTAATTTTAAATTGCATAAATATTACTATTTAATTAAGATGAAGGGAATAGAATTTTAAATATTTCGGAATATTTCAAAAAAAAAATAAAATAAAATAATAAAAGAACACTTTAACTAAGGAGGACAATAGACTCATCACATAGACTCCATAGTCGGGACACACGACAAACGGCTAAAATTTTTTTTTTTTTTTTTTTCTTTTCCTCCCCCCATTCAGAGAAGACGAGACCCGGCCTTGTGCATGATACCGAGGTTTTCGGTTCGTTTCACACTTTCATCCTCGCATCTTTTTACCCTGGCTCACAATCGCCATTGCTTTGCCACCCTTTTTAACGTTAAGGACACATTCAAAGAGATCGGTATCTTATTATACCGGTACTGGATGTCACTGCTGGATACGGCCGTCTTCGATTCCGTTTTCTACACTTTGTATAACGTTTTCGCGATACTGTTCGCGAAGTGTCATCATTGAATGGAATCGTGTAAAATGGAGGAAAATTTGGCGGTGAAAGTATAATGCATGAAATTTAATCGTTAGAGCGTGTATGTGTATGTGCGTGTTTAATTGGAATTTTTTGATTCTGAGTTTGTATTTATTTGAAGTCGTGTTTTACTTTATCGCAAGATTAAATTTATGTGATATCAATACATGAGAATATATGTCTAATACGATACGATTGAAAAAATCATTCATGAAAAAAAANTTAATTGGAATTTTTTGATTCTGAGTTTGTATTATTTGAAGTCGTGTTTTACTTTATCGCAAGATTAAATTTATGTGATATCAATACATGAAAATATATGTCTAATACGATATGATTGAAAAAATCATTCATGAAAAAAAAAAAATTCTTTGAACATTTATCGCCATTAATCGTAACTTCGTAATGTATGTTGAAAGATTCTTTTAAACATTTTTCATTAATATTAATGATTAGAAAAGAGTTTTTTTTTTACTATATAATATTTTTGACAGATTTTTAACATCACTGAAGTGTAATTTTGAAAAAAATATAGACGAGCTTCGTCTATTCGTTTATAAATAAATATCCCTTCGAACAACCGTAACTTTGAATTATAAAAAAAAATTTTCATATATTTTTTATGTATATATATATAAAAAAAAAAAAACAAATTTTAAAACTTTCGATAAAAATATCATTTATCCTGTTTCATTTATTCATTTTCATTTCGCATTTTTCAGAGATCAAAACGAGGGACAAAAATATTAATAGAAAATCTGACGTTTTACTTATTTCCACTTATTTCCCCGATCGAGGCAGCTGTTTCATTAATTAACAACCGATGGAAAAGTGCAAACGTCTGGAAAAGAAAACAACTATCGTCGGCCGAGTCACGAATGAATTATCGATCGATGGACCCGATCGATCGGCTCTCGACGGAGAAAGCTGTATTAATTAACCCCCATCCCCATTAATTTATACACCCCCGATCGCTTATCAGCTTTTATCAAGGTTTTAGATCTCGTTTCGGAATTTCGGATATTTTAACCTGGCGTGTTGAAAGAACGTAAAGAGATGATGATGCTCGAGTGAAAAATAATCAAACTAGAGTAGAATCGGTGGTAATCTCGCGAAAATGAAGTTTGCCCTGTCGAAAGGAGAGAAGGTAAAAAATATATCTTCCCTCGAATCAAAAATTAAAGATTAAAGATTAAAGTTTAAAAAAAATTGGATGGTTGATTAATTCTCTATTTCGAACGGCATCTCTTCGTTTTATTCTTGCAAATTTTCCTTACAACAATCCAAAGATAAAAAAAAATGTAGATTCGATTTTATCGGTTTAATTATTTCCTTCTAATTTGATTTTAAAATAATTTTTTCATTTACGTTTTAAAAAGGAAGACGAAAAGTATTTTCCGTATTGGAATGAATGAAACGAATCAAAAGTAAATACGGATTAAATAACAACAAATATTCAAGCTAATTAAATATTGAATTATAACATCCGTTCACGATCGTAATTTCAATAATTTCATTAAAGTACGAACAATCCGTTCATCGATCTCACTCAAAATATAATATAAAACGTAACAATAATGATATCAGTAAGAGAATAAATATATATACATATATAAAGAAATATATTTTTCTAGTTCCAAAAAAAAAAAAACTAATCTAATCAAAACGAATCTAACACAATTATCGGATCGTTAATCGTTTAAAATATCGGATCGCGTGCTCGTATTACGCATCCGATATAATGGATACTGATCGATTAACTAATTCATCCTGGTATTGTCTCATTACGGGATCCCGACTAATGAGCTGCGGATCATCGATAATAGCTCTTTGGAAGGCAGCTGCATCGCTGATTAATTTCCCAATGTGTGAAGGCGCGATCAGGAAAGCCATCCTGGCGGCCGATTATCACGCGTGCCGTGGAGAATTATCGCCACGATCAATCGTGTCGAATTGTTTGCGTTTGTCTATTGAAAGTTTACAGGGGGAGGGAAGTGGACGCGAGTTTTAGCCCACTTTCTACACTTTGGAACGGCGGTAACGACAATTTTGCACCCGGAAATTGCAATTTCGACCGACCGTCGATCACTTAATAACTGATAATGAGTCCCGATCGATGGTCGATGGTCAATAGTTTCACACACGTAAGATTCGTAGAATTGTGATTGGCGTGATAAGATGGGTCATGGAAGTACATTGTGAGATAGATTTCAGAATATTATTACGTAAGGCAATTGTTAAATTTTCATTTATTTCGATTTGATTTCTAGTGTCTTGGAAATATAATTAAAACGTAATATAACGATCCTGATTATGGCGTCCTGTGATTCTTTCGTGAATATTTTCGAAGAATTTAACGAAATTTATTATTCTGATTCTCGTTATTTATCAAGAATTTTTAATTTATATTATATCCAACTTAATGCATCTCGACAAATATTTTAAAAATATCGAGGGAACTTTTATCACCGTTATCAAAATAAATATATTATCCCTATTTTTCTTTCGAATAAATGTTCTGCAAATGTCGTATCGATTTTGACGTCGATATATCAGTCATGAAGAATAACGTAAATGGCGCAGACTGACAATTGTAAAGATACTATTATATATAATATATGATTGACAGTGATTATCTTTAAAATTGACAAGGATTATTTTTACGATGAATTCTTCGTGATTATAAAAACAAATGCGTAAGAAAGAATTGTATAAGAGAGATAAAGAATCTGATTCTTCAAAATGGCCGACCTCCACTCTATATGTACATATTTCTCACGAGATTCTCGACATTTTTCGATAAAGCGAAGCTATGCATTTTGCACGGATGAAACGTAACATTCCATTGTCGTTTCACATACGTGTCACAAATTTTCTTCCAGAAGATGAATATAAATGTATTGCGGAGGAACTAATCTGTATTCGTAAAACAAACCTTCGCGACACCGAGGGGGCGAAACGAAGATGGAACAACTTTTCATCCGTGATTAAAATATTGCGTGAAATATTTTAACAATTTTGAATATCCTGATGACATTGTGAATCCTCGATATCGATAAATCAAGATTTTATATATTTTAAATCTAAATCTGTACGGAATAAAGTCGTTAATTCTACTCGCGATATTCTCCAGGAACGTAATAAAGAAAATCGTGGACGGGTTAAGTTAAACCCGGTTTTAATACACTTTTGACAGGAAAATCGATGTTAACCATAGAGGTTTGTGAAAATTTTGTTATATTGAAAAAAAATTTGGACAAGTGGATTAAAAGAAGAGGAAAATTTATGGGAATATCGTTGATGAAAAAAGAATGATCGAAAAGAATTATTGTGAATTAATTTTTAGGGGAAAAGATATATTTTGAGAGAAAAATCAAGCATCTGTTGATACTGTTAATTTTCTTCGATACGAATTTTTTTCTTTTTTTAAAAAAATACTACGATGATATGAATGACATTAAAACACTTATGAATAATGCAACAGTTATGAATATTACTTAGAAGCTTTCTTTGATTTTTCCAAGTGTATTGTTATACATTTTAATGTTCCCTGATGAACGAGACTTAACGAGTTTCGCAACTCGTTGACCGCAAATGCTTTCTCAACTTCATCGATTAAGGAAAACTAGTTCCTCGTACCAACGCTTGAATCATTATACCCGAGCTTCATAATTCAACATATGTTATTGTTTACTTTACCAAGTTTCGTTATAGATAATAGAGATATCGTGTTGTTGAGAATACAGAACTAGCAAAGTAATTTTCCAAAATATTTACATCAATCATATAAGGATCATGTATATGTAAATATTTATCGTTTGGACAAAGTTATAAACCTACCGATTGATTGTGAAAACGATATTTATATATTCGAGATATATTTTCTATCGTATTTTATCAATAAATAATAAAAGCTTTACAACTACACGTGTTTAATTCTGATCGAGGATTCTTCCATCATCTCTGAATGTTCACTTCTTTGAACAGAGAATAGACACAGAAGATCTTTCATTCGAGAACATCCATCTATTTATCTGGTCTCAAACAGACGTTGTCATTGTAATTCCATGTCAATATCGGGCTGAATATAAATTATGATCTCGGTAATGGAGTGTTAAGCCGCTTGCTTGAATCATTTCCAATGAGCTTCGTATCACGAAAGATGAATAACGAGGTGATAATTTCTTAGAACCGTCTTTTTATAATTTTTTGTTGAATATACATCTCAATATATAATATAACACAAATTGAATAGATTTCTTTTTATTATTAAAGAAGTTGTTTTAATCAATGAATCAACTGATCTGAATTTCAATTCTATTATTATATCTTTCGTTCCAATTTTCAATTTTTTAAAAATCATTTATAGTTAAGAAATTTACGAATAATCTATCTCTTTGTTCACAATACAAATTCAATTGTTTATTAGATGCCTATTCCAATTCTTGCTAATGCCAATATCCGTTTCTTCAAAACTTATCTATAAATAAAATCTGTAATTAAAGAATGTATCTATCTTTTCACATCCAAAACGCCCTCAATTCCAACGTCTATTCCAACTTCTAATACTCAACTATAATCATCATCAGCAAACAACCTTAAATCTCTATTTTTCCATTCACAAAATTTCATCCCACTCCAACCAATCTGTACTTTTACTCAACCCATCATTCCCCCCTTCTTTTCATCTCCAAAGAATTAAGTTCTCCAATTGTTTCATCCGACAACTCAACAAGCATGGCCGAGTTCTTGCAAGCATAATTCTTCTCCGTTTCTTAACTGTGGCGAGGGACAAAAGCGTATTAGTTACAGTTCTTCATTTCGAAAAACTGGGGAGATAGAGAAATCGTGGAATATTTTTAATTCCACCCTTCTTTCGTGGACGAGACGTTTCCACAAAAAAGAAAAAAAAAAAAAAATAACGTCGCCTGTCGCGTAAACCAGTCAGCAAAACGGTCTAAGGTTCGCTTTCGTGGCTCTTTCGTATTGTACGACTAACCTAAATTCACCTGTTTCACTGTCGCTGCACATTCTGAATACCCGTCTATTTGCCCGCAAATTCGCTACGTTCCACGATAACTGGACTCCTCCCTCTCCCCCTCATGTAAATGCGGAGGGAGGGGAAAAAAAATAAAGTTTCGAAGCTCGAGACGCGTTTTTTGAAAACTTCGCGCCACCATTTTACTCGCGGATTGCAATTTGTGCGAATTTAGATTCGTGGAAGTGGAATAACAGACAGGTTTAACCGTGAGCGAGATTGTTTTCCTCGGTTTCCGGTTTTTATATCGAGATTTGATGTAACAAGTTGCTAAATTTTGGAAAAGGGGGAATTTTTTTTTGAATTGTGTTTGGAATTGCGTTTAAGTTTTGAATTTTTGAAAACGAGATCTATTTATAAGTTCCTTGATTTGAATTTTTTCGGGAAAATTTGTCATTCAAGCTTCGAATTTTAATCATTGAATTTCCTTCCTTCGTAATTTTATGATCGATTCCCAAATTGTATTCAGGGAAAATTTGAAATTTAATTTGCAAGAGTGATCGCTTTTCGATACTCTGGCTAAATATTCAAAAAGATAATCAGGATTCGAAGGCGGTTATGGAGCAGTAACCACAAATTCAACACATCATTTATAACAGTAAAATTGAGAATTGTTAATTGAAATTCCATTTCGTGTTTCGGCAAAAGCAATGGCGATGATCCAGCCATTGGATCGATCGACTGTTTCTCTCTCCTGATCACTCGTTCGTTGCCATCGATCGACATTTTCTGTGCTTTTTTTTTCTTTTTTTTTTTTTTTCCGTCGAATCAACTATGCTGCGACAAAATGAAAAAAAAGGAGAAGAAGAGGGAAAGATATATATGCCAAGAAGAACTCACCGGATCAGCTCGAAGATCTCGGGCTTTTCTCGCTCTCTCTGCTTCATTCTCTCCTTCATCGCCGTGATAATGCTGTTCGCCTTATCCTCGGCACCGTGCTTCGAGCTTTTCTCAGCCGCCCCTGAAAAATGAAAAAGTCATGGGTGAGCATTTCTATAAAACGGTCTCTAATATTGCACGCCTCTCGATTTTTAAGGGGGAAATTCTCAGAAACTTATGTTTATATCTCATTTCGAAGTAAATTGAAACAGAATAGACGAGGTGTGCGATTGAAAATTGTGCGTGGACAAGATTGCTTCGTTTTTTTTGGAAATTTATTTTTGAATAAATAAGGAGAGTTTTTCCCCTTCTCTTTGTGTATTCGTTATTATGATAATAGATGATTTGTGATTGCGAATGAAAAAGTCATTTTATTTTATATCATAATTTAAAAATTCTTGTCATCTTAAATTTCAAGTTTTATTATTATTAAACGTGGAAATTTATGAATTTAATTTTCTTGAAAATGAAGCTCTAAACGAAAGTAAAAAAAAAAATTTATTCCATATTTTTTCTTACTTTTTCATAAGGATGTTATCTTGTCACTGTGTATATCGAACAACTGTTTTTATTGATTTAATATTTCATGAAAGTTTTTCTCAAACGTAATTTAGTTAAGTGATTGATAAACAAAAGTCCATGAATTACGTAATTATTTTTAATCTAGTTGATCTAGACAGATATATTCTCTTGTTGCATAACTGTACTAACGGAATACATTAACGTAATCTGATTTAATCAGTTGGTGTAGGTCAGTAACTAATTCAGCGAGAACACGTTGTGTTTGGATTAAAGTGGTATTAAAAATAATTCATCCTGTGCTATATTAAATTTCAAACTGTATGGTAAATAAAAGTACGTAAGATTGTAATATTTTTTTGTGTGAAATCTTTTTAAACGAAACAACATATTTTCATTGCAGATAAATCCGTAACCTGTACTTCATTCGACAAATTTAAAAATATAGGTTAATTCTCTCCGAATATTCGAAGTTAAATTTATGCCACAATAAAATTGAAATCTAAAATTGCACTATAATTTAAATTGCAATATAATTTAAACTATAATATCACTGTGTATAAATAAATTTTATTATATCGTATTTAAGAGTCTCTGCATATTCTATTTATAATCTTAGATACTAATCAGACAATGATTTTGAAATAAAGTTTTGCAAAAAGATCTTATCATCCGTAAATAAATGATTTATTTGCGAAAAAATACATTCACGATTTGTTCGAAAATTTTTTAAATTGTAATTGACTTTGAAATTAATAATCTTTTTTAAGTTCAATTAATTTTCTACGAGCATCCTCGTACAATGTATTCGCAAACGTGACTATATTTATTAAAGAAACAACAATTATCATCGAAAATATACATTTAATTCCAATCTTTTAAATCTACTATTATTTTCCAATAACATAAAATCGTAACGTTCTCGTTTTAACTTTTATCTTCGCTTCACAATCTTTCTTTCATCATTTCACAAGGTTTCCGAGCACGCACTCTTGAAAAACCTTCCACGAGATACACACGTGTCGAAACGCAACAGTCGCGTGTTTCGTCGGCCGGAAGACTCGAGGAGCGTTAATTTTCCGGTGAAGAAGCTCGTTTTATCCATCTGCTCTCACCCAGACCGGAAATTACGCGTGTTGATCGTTCAGACAGAGGAGCGAAAAATCGATTTCTCCCGAAAAATGAACGGTGGCAACCATGAAAATGGACAATACCTTCGGGAATTTGTGACGTTTCACGATGAATCGTTCGGGAAGGGGATGAAAAAAAAAAATGTCTGAATATTTCATCGATAATATTGGTTCCTACGAATAGAAAATCGATGGTCCCGAATTTGTTGCGTCGCGATGTTGGAAAAATTCCATTTGTTGGAAAAATGTTTTGAAAATTTCGAAATCGCTGGATGCGAATGCCAATGAAGTTAATGAAAAAAAAAGTAGTGAGTTTTTTTTTTTGATTGGTTTTTGTTTTAATTATTAAAATTACGAGTACAAGTGATAGATCATTTCAAGATATCATTTTACAGAGTAATATTGCGGTTGAAATTTTGATATCGATTACAAAAAAAATATTCACTGATATTGAAAAAAGTGAAGATGATTTTGATTTGCAATCGATTCGAAACTGATTAATTTTTTATTTTATTCTCGAATTATTGGAAACGTCTGAAAAATCATATGTATTTGCATATTTTAATTCTAGTGATTTATAAAAATATATAAAATCTATATATTCGTGTAGGAAATAATTATGATTCTATTAATGAACATTATATTTTAATTATATATTTTTTATCACTTTTAAATCATTTTTCATATGAAAAATTATTCCAAGCAAGAATTATATGAAAGAAAACGTAGAATATAAAAATTAATTTTATGCTTTTTAATTGAGATTCTTTCTTTAATAGATGAGAAAGAAAATAAATTGTTAATAATATATCATTACATATATTTACTTTTAATCTTTTGTCTTTAATGTACTTTTATTACTAGTATTATTAACAAAATTTCAATTTAGAATCTACATTCCATATCGATCAATATGACATTATTAATTACATTATTAATAATCAAATATCATTATTATAATAAATTGTTTCAATATATTGGTCAGCAAAGGATTAAACAGAACTTAGAATTTCATCCTGTTTTTGAATATTATTCTCATTATTCTATATAGAAGATATATTCATAACTCTTGTTTATGAACGATAATTCATCATTCTCTATAGATTTATATTCAACTTATTTCTGGTTAATTGTTGAGATACTCGACAAATAATTATACAAGACTAATAATTTAATCTCTATCGAATATTAGTAATTTTCTAGTACGTTCGAATAATTAAAAGCTAAATTCACTTGATAATAAGTTGACAAGAGAACACGTAGGATTCTATTGCAAAATCATTATCAATTTCCATGTAGCCGCATTTTCCACGTGCGTTTGACAGACTCGTAAAGGTCCAATCCTGTGTATGAATAATTTACATGAAATTTTAATTAAAATATTTAATTTTCATGCACGATCTCGCGATCTGATTAATAGTTTACCTCATGGCGAATTTAAATATTGATGTGCAATTAATTGCCAGTTGTTTTAACAATAACAGGAGCAAATATACACGAGATAATAGACAAGTAGAGATCAATCAATGAAATGGAAAAATAATTTGATCGACAAATTTCCTGTTTTTCCAAGATTCTCTTCGTTAAAACTTTAATTAATGTCAAATATTTTATCGATTAGTTTGTCCTTTTTTTTTTGTTTCTCTTATTTGTACAACTATTCTTTCAACTGATTATTTTTAATCTTGTTAAATTCATTTTTAAATAAAAATCTTATAGAATTTCATCACTTTTATAATCCCCACTTTATCTATCGTATCATTATAGAAAAAGAAAATGATATAAATGAAAAAAATAATAATTCTTCACTATTGTACATTTAATAGAATCTAAAATAAAAAAAATTGGATATAAAAGGATTATATTCTTATCTCTTTTCTGTAACAAATAAGATTTCTTCATTTGCTAATATATAAGATTTTAAATTAATCAAAGTAACATACAAAAAAAAAACAAAGAATATTATAGATGAAGAGAATATCTCATTTCTATCTATTTTTTAATTAATCAACTTGTTCATAAATTCTATCAAACTATTAAAATTATTGTTAGTTTAATGTCGCAATCAAATTAATATTATATACACATATGTATTTTTTTTATCTTATCCATCTGCCCATCTCCAAACTATTAATCCTATCATAAAAATTTTCTCATTTTTTTTTACATAAACAAGATATTTTGAAATATGAACAAATTATTAGTAGTAAATACATATTCCCCTCACCATAAACGATTTTATTGCTCCAAAATGAACACTCAAAGCCATCACTATTCTCATTCACATCCACGAAATCAACATCGCGGATTCCCGAATTTCCGCATGAATTCCATTTACTCTTCCCCCCTTCACAATTTCTACGTCTTTGTCTAGTTCCACGCGCCTCGATGGAAATCTCGCAATCAACTCGATCGTGGAAAATTCGAGGCAAATCTCTCGAGAAAATTTTCTCCCTTATTTATCGTCACACCTAGAGAATTTCGAAAATTTCAATTCGGTTGTGAAGTTGAGAATAAAGTTACCAGCATTGAATTTTCTTTATCAAATACATTTTTTTCAAGTATCGTAAATAAAGTTATAATAAAGTTTCAAAGTGATTGTCGATTAAAATAGAATATTATTATAATTCATTCTTTGTTTTTTTCGTTTCTATCATTCTGATTCTGTAATGAGAAGAATTCTCCAATTTTTTTTAAGAAATTAAAATACATTCGTTATTTGAAATTAATTTTAATCCCGAAATTTTAATCGATTAATTTTAATGCCCAATTCTACGTTATTATCGCCAGAGATCAATTGAAAGCTCCCCTCGTGATTCCTTCCGTTTTTCGACTCATCTCTCGTTAATTGCATCAACTGTTCTCGCTTCTGGTAATTAAGTTCGCAATGGAGGCGGAGGAGCACGGTGTAATTTTACCACCGCCTCTTCCAACGTAGCCGAGTTTAATGTCGCGACAGTTTTGTTTCGTGTGCAGATTCCAATTTATTTTATCGTTACCAGTTTAATTGGAGTTAATGGCGTTTTGTGTTACAACTCGGACAGACTCGTTTTATCCATCGAACTGCACATGAAAATGATGAAACTGGACACGGAAATTTTTTTTTTTTTTATTAAATTTGGAGAATTGATTTAATTATAAAGCATCGTCTTTCTTTTTTGTCAGAGTTTTTTGCTGATTGCAGGATAAATAATAGTAAATGTTTTCGTAAGGTAAGTTATATACAAGAGGGATGAAAAAGTCAGTCGATTCGAAAATTCGAAAATAATCTCGATAAAATTAAGTAATTCTTTTCTTTGAATGAAAAAAATCAAATTGTTATCGAGAAATGTTTTGTTATAAATTTATCTATATTATCATTATAATCAATTTTACCGAATTCTCTCTCCTAAAGATAATATTCCATTTCAATTTACTCTAATTGCTTGCAAATACAATTAATAGAATTGCACGTAGTTTAACTAATCCGTCTAAATCACGGATTCATGGATAATCTTCAATCTGTGTTACATTAAGTACCCGACTAATCCATTATCGTTGAAATTTATTGTACAATATATCACAAAGTAAAACGTTTGTTTAAAGATATTTCAACGTGTTATAAAATATATAAACCATACACCATATTTATTAAAAAAGATCGATTAGAACTTCATAATATCCTTCCATTCATTTCCAACATTAACCGTATAAAACGTATAAATTATATTATCATATAAAAATTTCAATATATCATGCATCACACTTGATAACACAAATCTTCCATTTTTTTCCATCTAAATTACTATAAAAACGTGTGTTAAAATCCAATAAACATGGAACATCGTTCACAAATAATGAATTAAAAAATAAATAAATATATATATAAAATAAATTACTCACTTTGCAAGCAATCCGCGTTCAGCAGGTCCTTGCACTTTTCGTGACACTTGACACCGCATTCCGTACACCGCACCCCTTGTCGGGCGATACCCCAAAGAAGGCCCTCGCACTCATAGCAGTAAGTAGGCGACGTGGCAGTCCATGTGACGAATTTGTGGGGGGTGGTCGAGGAGATCGGGTAGATCATCGCCTGCAGCGTTTTCTTGTACACGTGCATCTTCTGTGGGGTGTAGTATCGTTGCACAGACAAGTTAGTATAAACGCAACGAAGTGAATTGAATCGGGGGAAGGTGGGATACTCTTCATTTGCAAGGATCATTATAACGATCAACTCCGCGCTTCGCTGCTCGTTCGAAATTCGATGGTTCTTTTTTTCTGGGAGTGGTGATAAGAATTTTTTTAGATGTACTCTTTTGGTAGATTTCAGGTTATTATTCAACCATCAGAAATTCTTCTAAGAATAAATAATAAAATACTTCAGTGATTCAATCTTAAGTATTCTTTTTTTTTTTTTATATTATATTTAAAGTTAAGGAATAGAATATTGTCAAAGATATTTTATAGCAATCTAAAGTTCAAATTGGATCTTTCTTCTTTTTTATTTGTTCAAGTCCTATTATATAAAAACTGCTAAGTACAACATTATTAACACCATTATATCTAATAAATCGTTCCTCTATAAAAAAAAAAAAATAAACATTTTCGTTCCATCTGAAGAAATTATTTTTTTCAAAAATCAAAATTTTCTATTCCATCGATTTTTGTTGGAGCAGAGGATGCGTCGAAGGTGTCAGCATTCGCGCCAATCAACGAAGAGAGCGCGACCAGACACGGATCGAAACGGGTTCCCAAAAATTACCCCAACGCTCTTTCCTCTTCCGCTATGTATCGTCAAACTCGATACAATCCTTCTGTAATACTCCCAAAATTCAACAACAAACAAACAAAAAAAAAAAAAAACTACTTCATCCATTTTTATCCTATATAGTTTTCGAAACCGTGTCCACAACACTCTCTTCCACTACCTCACAATCATCTCTATTATTCCTATTCGTTCCTCCTATCGTGAACTCACCTTTCCGTGTGAAACTCTTGCTTCGTTCTCATGCAAGATCAAAGGTATAAATATATATATATACTCACTCACTATATATATACATATATATGTATACATATATATATATATATATATATACTGTATGCGTGTGTATGTTTACAGTCAAATCGGTGTCATTCATTCGAAACGTCACGCTAGCTCTCGTACATAATTACGCGGACAATCATAACGTGCCAGAGGGGAATTGATGTGCCTGGCGAGACCTAATTACATACGCAATCCTGTGTACACGGATTAAACAAAAGGAGATGGGGTTAGGATGGAATTTCTACGGGGTTGTTGCTGTTGTTGTACGGTTGGTTTGGTTTTTGGAATGTTCATCGCAAATCAAATTTATATTCAAGAATGTTCGGAGATTCTCAAGAGGATTCTCTACTACTCGCTTGAAATGTACGATGCGTTGTTCATGCATCTTTGTCCTTTCGAATTTCTCACATTCTAACTTAAAAAAGGGGAAGGAAGGGAAAGGATGGCGCAAGACGTATCGAAGGGGGCTTTATTTTTTCTTCTTTTTTTTTTTTTAATGTTTCTCAATGCGTCTGCGCTCGCGTCGATCGAATTTGCGCTGCCTGTGATCACGATTGTACGTGGGCGGATAGTACATGTTGCGTATATTTTACGATGACGAAGGAAGGAGTGTGCTTGCGGGTGTACATATTTGTTGTATCAAGGAAGAAGAGTGGAGAGAGAGATATGTTTGATTTTGCTTCACTTGGAAAAGATAATTGTTTGCGGAGATCTTCATTTTGTTAACTTGTAAAGGAGATGGTTGTAATAGTAATAGTTATATCATGCACTTCGCGCATAATAGAATAATTGTATTCTTTTCAATTAATGAAAGGTGATCTCATGTCTCTTTATTATTTAGAGATATATCGTATTTTCTCTCTATCTATGTTGAAATTTTTAATAAAATTGTAATAAGTTTGAGATTGTGGAGATAATTTTTCAATGATTCTCCGTTTGATCTCGAAATTTATGCAACAAAAATTCTTTCGAGATGTAACATATGCAGTCGATCATAAATATCTATTCTTGATTTAATTTAACGGTTTGTACATAAAACAATTTATCTTTTCACGGGAATTCTCTTTGAAATCAATTTTTAAATTTTTGTTATTTTCTCATATTTTTTTTTTTTACAGGTAATTGTTTTACGATTTAAAATTTTGTTTTACAACTCTTGTATAATTACGAGGTTATATATATTTAGATTTATTAAAGATTTCACACGAAACAGAATTATCATTGATTTTTACTTTTCATTTTGACTTTTGAATTATCGAAAGAACAACCCAAGATATCCAAAATCAATGCACGTCGCGCGGCAAATGAAATTCGCCACGTGATTCAAATATTTCGAAGAAGCTACTGCGAAAAGTAACTCTCTGCTTTTTCTTTTTCAGAAAAATAAATTTCATATTTGATGTGCACAGGCAACGCAGATCGATCTTCCTAAAATTCGCGCAGTGATAGGAGCGCTACGAGGAGAACACAGGATCTATTTCTTTCGTGTCTTCGTAGGATAATAGAACGGGCTCGAGGATACTCGAACCCTCGTCCCCTCGTTCTTCTCTGCACAATTTTTATCTTTCTCTCGTCTTTCGACACTTCCGAAACTGACACTTCCTCGGTTGGATGATCGACGAACGACAAAAACGTTTACTGGCCACATTTCTCTTGTGGCGAAAAAAAAAAAGAAAAAAAAAAAAAAAAAAAAAAAAAAAAGAAAAAAAGGAAAAAACACAACAAAGTTTTTCCTATCGATTCGATGAATGTAATCCTTTGGCTTTGTTTCGACTCGCTTTTCTTTTTTCCTTTTTTTTCAACCAAGAGTTCGAGAGAAAGAGAGAGAAAAAGAGATGGAGGGTGAGTACACGTTCTCTAGATGTCGTATTACTATTGGAAACGCTCTGCAAGGGGGTGTAAAAAAGCATCGATCCGCTAAAAAGCACTATAAAGGTAATGTCGTGAGCTCAGGATGTTCCACATATTCGTTCCACGTCCATTTTTTTTTTTTTTGCTTTGAGTATTTGCAGGCTATTTCGAATCTGAATCGTTATTTTCGAAACGTTGGAAGATGAAATTTTTATTTAAAATTATATCGATTTATTCGGCGGCTATTCTTATTTCGGAAAATTCTTGTTAATGTTATGTTGTCACATTTATATATATATACATATCTCTTTAAATCAGATTCTTTAATCCTTACCTTTAACTGACTTTCATAGATACAATAGAATCCTGTCAATTGTACAAATAGATCTTGACCAAGTCAAATTTTGAAACTTTAAATTGTGATCAATATGTTCTTCTTTCGATTTAAATTTTCAGAAATAAACTTCAATATACCGAATGATCGAATAAATTTTTTGATGCATGATAATAAATAAGATACTTTCCAATTCTTACGTGCGTTTAATTAATTCATCCAATTGGATGAATCATTCGATTTTATAAACGATCAAATATTTCCAATTTTTATCTATATATAATTTACTTATTAGCGATGAAAGAATAAAAAAGATTTGATGAAGAGGAATTCGTCATCAAACGTTTCGCAAACCATGAATGGATATCGGCGAGTATTTGCAAACACACGACGAACACGAGGAACATCCGACACTCATGACCAGGAATCGGACTCTCCTAGCTCTATCCTAATTTATACTCGGTTTACATGACCATTGTAGCATCTCATATCCGCGAGTAACCTACACGTGACCCATATACATATACACACATCGCGATAATACCGCACGTTTCAACCGCTACGTGGTAATGCTCGCGACGAGTGTGTACAAATACTTATTATGCAGATATGCGATATATTCGAAACGTTCACCCTAGCCGCTAAAGAGAGATAGAGAGAGAAAGAGATAGACAGAAAGATAGATAAAAAGAAAGAGAAAGAAAGAGAACGATTTCGTCTAGATTCGCTACGAATTTTGCTTTTTCTCGCAGAACGTGTTTCAGAACAGAACAGAAAAAAAAGAAATAAGTAGAAAAAGACAGAAAAGATAGATAGAAAGAAAGAGAAGAAGTGATAGAAGTAAAGCAAAGAAATAGAGAAAGGAAGAAAGAAAAAAAAAGAAAGAGAGAGAGAGAAAGAGAGAGACAGGTTGGGCCACACTTACGTGAAAGAAAATAGCGCGGAAATGAGGATAAAATGCAGCACAGTTCATGTGAAAAGAAAAAAAGTTATCAGAAAAATAATTATTTTAGTTTAGCTTCGATCGGCGAGCTATCGTCGCTGGATAACGCTTGGATATGTTTATTTTATTTATTATTTCGTTATCGCTTAAATTTTATGATGACGCGTTTCTTAATATGCGTGTTTGATTACAAACAATCATGAATTTTCGCCTGTTATTCATCGTTACAATAAACATGGGGAATAATTCATTTTCGGTCGCGCAAAATGAAATTCGCGCCACTCGACACCATTTTCAATATGGCGACCGATCCTTAGAACCACTAGATCCTTCGGCTAATGATGTTTCCCTGAATGTGAATCTTGCTTCTTAAAATTCTGTCGATAAAGCGTCTTTCGAGATTACGTAATTTTTATTTAACCTATTTTTACTTTTCTCAGCTCGCCGTGATTGAAACGTTATTCCGCTTAAAATTATTTTTAAGTATTTCTATACGACACACAGTTCATTTTAATTATGATAAAAGCGCTTAATTATTTTTCAGAGTGATGAAGATATGAAAAAGTGAATTTCTTTTATAGATTTTTTTACTTTTTTTTATTTGTTATTGAAAAGAGAATAAATTTTTGTCAGAAATATTGTTTAATTCGCGACCAAGTTATTACGATTTGCTTTCAGAATTTAACGAGTTGGATAATATGCGTTTTTTGTATCTTTGAGAGAATTTTAAATATAAAAATATTTAGTTTTACTTAAGATATTATTGTTTGGTTAATCTGTATTAAAATTTTCTAATAGAATTATGAGATATTTATAAATATTAAAAATGAATTAAATATTTCATCTTTTATACCTTCATCAGACGAAAAAATAATAAAATTTATACAGCTTATTTTTTAAGTATGGAGAATATTCTTAATATTTAGTTGAAAAAAATTTGTTTTTCTTAAAATGAACATTTTATTTTCATTATAAATTAGATAATAGCATTATAATAATTTATGGTAATATTTGAAATATGTACTAATATACTAATATATATTACTCATAATTTGAAATGGCAAATATAATCTTTATATACATATTTTATTGTCAAGTTTTAGCATAAAATACGAACAATTATTTTAAAAATTCTCTCTCAAAATTGAAAAATAATTGTTAAAAAAAGGAATATGAATATCAGAGATGCAAAAGTAAAACCATATCAATTTTTCTCTAATTTAATGATGAAATGTTAGCAAACATATTTCATTGAAGCTCAAATTTCAAGAAATTTCACAATATTTTATACCTTGCCATATACTTTCTTGCAAATTCAATACAATTTTTCTCTTTTTTCTCTGAAGTTTATCAAAATTTTAAAAATTATTCCAGGTTATTCTCATTTTTATTCACATTTATATCAATTTAAATAGTTAAATAGTTAATAGTTAATAGTTAATAGTTAAATAGTTAAATAGTTAAATATAAAAACGTAATTTTATTTTTCTTTAATTCTTTTCTAAATATCGTGAAATATTTTTCCAAAGAAAGTTTCCAAACTCTACAATCTGTTCTAAAACCATAAAAATAAAAACTCATAATTCCATACAATTTAAAAGAAAATATACCCTAATCCTTTTAACTTTTTTTTCCAATCACTTCAATCTTTTCTCCAAACTTGAAAAAACAATCTGTGCAATTTATACCCGCATCTTTGCGCATTATAAAAATTTATTTAACGATCTTCGATAACGCATCAAGGTCGCCTATCGTTCTCACGCGATCCTCCAATCAATGTCGAGGAGACTTCTCGTCGTTTTTCTTTCTTTTTATTTTTTTATTTTTTATTTTTTATTTTTTTTTACGACACTCGACGAAATCGACACGATCGAATTTCATCGCGTTCCAACGTGCTATTCCGCGAATGATCCACGCTAAGATTGACTATCAAGATTCTTCTAAACGAGCTTCATTCGCGGATATTAAAAAAAAAATTCCCGACCAGTTTTAATTTCACTTCGCCTCCTCGACCCTCGACGTTTGCGCGGGAAACGCTTCCTTCATTTCAAAACAAATCTAAACATTCCAGGAATATTCGATTTCCTGAATTCTTTCCTCTCGATCGCGTTCGCAATCTAAGTTTTGCCTGGATAATCATCTTTCGTGTGTATGTGCGTGCGTGCGTGTCGCATGAAAAACGTTTCTATTATATCATTTTCATATATACATTGTCACGATAAATTTTCTAATTTTAGAATATTTTATGAATAAATAAATAAGGAATTGATATTAGAAAATTGTAAAAAAAAGATAGGAAACTGAGATCGATCGATTCGGATGTTATACCTCAAAAATTTATTCTTATATGATAAAAATTTGATCCATTTTTCATTCTTTATCTATTTATTCTTTTCCCCTTCTTATTTATATTTACTCGTAAAATAACATCGAACGAGTTTCGCAAAAACATCTAACGTTTAATAAAAAATTACAACGATTTGAAAGAAAATTCTTTTAATCTCGATCCCGAGAAAGTAAATCACGTTTTTCACGCGAAGAACATATATTATAATTTCAAAAATTACGATTGTTATAAAATATTCAAATTAGTTCTCGCCGTTATGTATAAAGCGATTATAGATTATTTTATATACGAAATAGGAAACGCGATAGATGACGATGATGGCTGAAAAAGATATATGTTAAAGGACGAATTCTTACCAGCTCCTCGTCGTTTAAGGTCGCTCTTGGCACTGCCGAGGTTAGACCAGCCGCATTCCTCTTGGTCGCCGCCATTGTCTGAGAAAAGATAGAGAATTAATTTTCGTCTGATTCATAAGGGTCGACGTCGTTCAGTCTATCTATTATGTAGACAGAGATAAAGAGCGAGGAAGAAATGAGAATGACGAATTAGGAAAAGAAAATAAGAACGATGAAGAATATAAATGAGAGTAAGATTGAAGAGAAAAAATGATAAACGTGAATATATATATATATATATTTGCACAACGAGAGTATTATATAAAAAAGATACAGATCGGTTTTCTTTTCTTCGATTTCACTGAACGATTAAAGAAAAAAAAAAAAAAAAGAAAAGAAAAGAAAGGAAAAGAAAAATGATAAATAGATGAAATAAATCGTACGTATATAAACGTGACACTGAGAATTACATTTGGCATAGATCTTTCTTGTTCCATTGATATTTTGTATAAAATGTGTACAATAATAAATTCTGCGCGTTGTTGAAACGTAATTGTGTGTAATGGAACATTGAAAAAAGAAAAAAAAAATTTATAAAGAAACGTATCATGCCAAATATATTATCGAGATATTTGTTATTTACAAATGTTATTTACAGCCACGGTAGATGTGTTATTTACATTGGCTTGTTTTCAAAGCCGTGCCTTCAGCATTTTTGTCGTGATCAGAGTAAAAGCTTCTCGATATCTAACGTAACAGATAAACTTTAAAGCAAATTTAAAGAACGAACTTGAAGAAGAGAAGATATTTCGATCAAGTGAGATTCAATGGGATCAAATATTAGGAAAGAACAATATTTATTAACAGTTTCCCGAATAAACCGATATAAATCAATCGTAAAGTGAGATATTCGATTCGATAATTCGATAATAATAAACGAGCGTGAAATTTCATTCAATAATAATAAACATTTCATTGTATTTAACAAACATTGCGTAACAAACTCGACAATATTATATAATATTATTCGCATAAATATCACGAGAAACACGAAGATCGAGAAACTCTCTGCTCGAGAACGAATTCGCAACGTTTTGTTTTATTTGAAACCAAAGAAACACAAGTATTATCATTGATAAAAGACACTTAGAGAAATGTAGCAGAAATATATGCTAATATAAATCAGCCCCATAATTGAATATACATGTACGAAATAGAAATAAAAAATGGAACGAACGCGTGAACGATATGGAGGATGTATAATCCGACAAAACTCGATGCAAAGTATATTTATAAAATATATACACTGAAACGAATGAAAAAAAAAAATAGATAAAAAGACAATGAATAATAAAAATCATAACTATGAAAAAAAGAAAAGTAACGAAAAAAAGGGAAGAGATAATATAAGAATAAAATGCAAGGGATGATGGTGAAAGGCGTATAGCGAGATAGAGGTGATGAATCTCTAGAGAATCTAATCCAATTAGCATATTGGCGCCTGGTTTGGCGCACAGTTGGCTAGATTTCAATTAAGATATTATGCACGGGGCCCCGTGCAAGTTGCATGCGCTACTGTCTTGCCTTCTTTGGACAGACTGCTAATTCGGAGCAACTAATTTCGCGCCTCATCTATAATATATACTCTCACTCTCTATCGGTTTTTTCTACTTTCTCAAAAGCGTGTGTGTGTATTTACAGGCATTTTATACACGGGGCACCGTGCGATCTCTCTTTTCATCTTTCTTCGAATACAAATTGCGACGCATATTTTGAATTATACAAGGAATACTTACTTACAAAAGGAAATTATTGTAATAATCATATGTCAATATTTTTTTAATTGGACATATTCTTGTTATCATTTTTCTTTTTGGGATAAATCGTTTTAACAGAATTATGGATCTGTTATATTTTTCTTTGATTTGGATATTTTTCTTTCTTTCTTTCTTTCTTTTTTCTTTTTCTTTCTGTTCTTTTCTTGGAAGACGTATGAGATAACTTTGCTGTTCCTTTCTCTTTTAAAAATTAAATATTATTTATTGAGAAAGAAAAAAGATAATTATTAGAGAGAGAGAGAGAGAGAGAGAAAGAGAGAGAGAGAGAGAGAGAAAGGAAGAACGGGAGGAAGAATTTATTAAGAGATGTACTCGTTTCGTATCTTCGAAACTGTTTTTTCTTTCTTTTTCTTTTTTTTTTTTTTTTTTGAAAGATTTAAAGACTTTTTACTCGGCTAACTATTAAGAAATTAAGAGATCCTTGTTTCGCGTGTATTAAACAGATTTGTATGTTCAATATAGGAATAGAAATATATTTTCCTCGAATCTTTTTACAATATTTCTTATAAAAATTTTCAATTTCAAATTCACAAATCTTTGCAATGAGATTTTGATTTCTAAAATTAATATATAGATTATTTAGCTTAATCATCTATGAATTTTTTACCTTTAATACACGCTTAAAACCACGATCTCCAAACATAAACGTATCATATTATTTATAACCCACTAATTACTAATATCTGCTTTATCTATACATGCGATCATCGTGGCGAACATTCTTTATGCGTGCAGGTACACAGAAGATTAAAAAGTATTAGCAAAAATAAAATCGACAATCCTATCGCGCTTCGACAATATCATCGATCCAAAACTCTTCTCTGCTACTTTTCAATTAATTTCAATCAAAATGTAGCGGGAACGAAAGTAGCAAAATTTGAAAAGAATTTTATCAAATTTTTTCGAGTGTTATCGCAGACATAAATAGAGCATAAGTACACGAGCAAGAGAACAAATTGAAATACAAATTGCGGACAATTGGCGAACGATTAAAAAAAAATTTGGTCGCGAACAACGCTTTCCTTTTGGAACGCCATTCTCTCTCTGTTAAAATTACCACCCTTATAATATAATTATATCGCGAGACAAGTGTAAAAATTACTTGATCCTTTCCTTAGGTTAGAAAATATTCCTGAGTGATTAAAGTAGTGAATAGTTAACGTAGTGACAAAATGGCGATCGTTGTTCATAGGTAGAGCGTTGCTTGTGCATTTAAAAAATAAATAATCGCGCGGAAATAAATGAGAAGGAGAAGGCAAGCGAATATATAATAAAGTATCGCAGATGCGAACAAAAAGTAAAATCGAGCAAAAATCAAAGATGAGAAAATAATGGAGGAAAATAAAGAGAAAGAGAGAAAGAGAGAGAGAGAGAAAAAAAGGTGCAATATCAATGCATACAAGCTGAAGCATGCGCTACGTACGGCGAAACAAGCCTTTTTATTTAAACTTCGTTAAGGAGGCATTTAATTAGTACCTTCAAGACCTGGAGGTAGAGTTTTTGAGATTTTTTGAGAGGTTTTTTCAGTGAGTGGTTTTGTTTTTTTCAGGTGTTCAGGTGGATACAACAACGGGCGCCACAGAGAACAAACAAAGAAAAATGGCATTATATGCCGGTTAGTACGTGTATCAATTGCAGCATCTTTCTAATTAATTTTTCTTTTTTTTTTCTTTCTTTTTTTTTTTCTCTTCTAATACCTCGTACGTTATGGATAACAGATACATTTAGAGATTAGAGATACGAGAGAGGAATGGAATAATAGGCGTATCGATCTTTCCACCGAGATGGATAAGATAACCTTTCTCGAAAATTTGCACGTCAAAAACTGGACCGATTCATTCTCGTTATTTTACATAAAAATGCGATCTAATATGCAAACTGTAGCGTGATTTTTATTCAAAAATCAACACTTCTCAGATTTATTATTATTCCATCTCGTTGAATTTGAAAATCTAAAATTGCTGGATCCGAGTCGTACATCTCCTCCACCTCCACACACATAATTCCTTCTTCCGAATATATCGAGAATTGCGTTTAAACGCAAGAAATGAACATTGAACTGCTCGAAAAGAAACGAAGACCCCGGAACTCGGTTTCCATCAATTTTTCGAGGTTCTTCATCATCGATCGCCTTCGAGCTTTTGTTTCCGGTTCGACTGGACGGGACAATGCACTTCTTGGACTGCGGAGCTCCAAGGACCAAGGTCACGACGTTACACAACAATCAAGAGTAAAAGAAGGAGAGAGAGAGAGAAAAAAAAAATTGTCGAACATCGAACATATACAGGGATCACAGATAGACGAAGTCGAGATTTCTAAAGAGGGTTAAAAATTCGAGCAGACTCGAGGATAGACGGATAACTTCGTGGAAGGAGAATAATTCCATCCTCCTCGAATCTTACTTATATCAAAGAAAAAAAAATAAAAAAAAAATGTATTATCGAATGCAAATTCATTTGGAAATGAAATTTTCGAGAAATTTTCTTGAATTATTATTTTTCGTTATTAATATAGTAAATTACATTGAATTGTAAGAAGATTATTATCATTTTCGATGTGATATTCATCAGTGAAAAACGATTTTTAAGTGGTAAGTCTCGAAAGTTTTATTTCTCGAATGTATTTGCACCCTAATTTCGCCGAAGTCCATCCGCATCGATTGCACTAGACTTCACACAGAACACATACGCGATTAGATCGAGCGAAAATCGATATGTACTTTTCATTAGTGGAACTTTGTTTGGCATTGAGAGAAAATTGAACGTTAGGAAATTATAGTTCTATAGAGTTATTTCTCTAAGTATTGAAAATCGTATACATAAATTGGCATGTTTTGTAGGATAAAATATATGTTAAATTAATGTTGTAAACGTATATTGATTATTAAACGTATTTCATTATTTAATTCGATTTTATTTTCTCTCTTAAATGAATATATTATTCTATATTTAATAATATAATAATTATTTTTAAATGTATATTTTGTAATTTTAATATAATGAAATAATTAAAAACTTTAATCAAACATTTTTAAATAATGGCAGATTCAAGATTTTAATTTACTTTTAAGTTAAATTGAAACTAAATTACGTTGCTTTTGTTTGTACATTTGTAGAATAAGAGAGAAGCATTTAAATTAAGATATAGAGTATGATCATAATATATATGTGTGTGTATATATATATATATATATATATAATAAAATTAAATTTAAATGGAATTATAATTTTTTCTTCTTTTTTTCCCTTACTATTTTTTACCTAAATCATTAAATATATTCTGTTCCTTCTTTTATCTTTGTAAATTCATGAGCAAATGGCATATAAAATTTAGCCAACATCGAGGGATTTTATCTTGGTTTTCCACAAATGCAAAATTCTCTCTTGCATTTTCTTTATTCGAGACATAACGGTTAAGTATTAATATTACCTTTGACGCATAAAAAGTTGAGGCACGCATTTGCATGGTTCAAATAATCAATTATGAATGATGTAAAGATAACTTTCCTCAAAGTCGTCTTTTTTTAGAAATTGTCGTAACGTCTTGCTTCACTCGCAGTGTAAAAAATTTCAAGTATTATTATCTAGAGAATAAATTATTTACAAAATTTACGTAAAATATATTTAAAATAGAAACGTAAGATATATTTAAAATAAAATGAAAGTAATTAATCAATTTCTTTTACAATAGAAAACTTTGAAAATGTCCTTTTGAATTTTTAAATTGATATAGAAAATAGTTACCATTTATGTATTAAATTTTTTCCATTTTAGATTTGACAATTCAATATTATTTCATTGACTTTAATTCTGACTGAAATTCTAATTCTTAAATGAATAAATCTATAAGTATAATTAGTTAATAGTAATGTGGCGCTAGTATCGCATCACTAGAGACCATATTGTCATCATCATAATTTCAAACTTTCATTAAGCTCGTTATAAATTTAAAACGATATTTATAACGATAGAAATTGACTCCAAATATAAACAGCAACAAAAAAAAAAAGAAAATTTATCATGTGTCAACAAAATGTTAAAAACCAATTTCACAATTTAAATAATTAAAATAATTTAAATCTTAGTTAGACCGAGTTACTTTGTCCCGTCTCATGCCATGTTTTTTTTTTTCAAAAAGTCACATACGAGAAACGTAAATAATTACAGTAATTGAGTAATGAATTTCTTTTTTTTTTTTCTCAAAGTAAATAAATATTTCTGCTTTTAATAAACGAATAACGATCGGGTCGCGCTTTTAAAAGTTTCGTTTAAGTCGTCATGTGAACACGCAAAGCTTTCCAGGACTAGCAATGGCACGTGTGACGTAAGCTCGCCGTTTTTTGAACGTCCTCTCGAGCACGCAGGTAATTACATGCCAGGCACCGTGTTGGATACAGAATTCTCGTTCGAGCATTTCCACCCTCGGTTTTCCTCGCAATTAACATATTTTTTTATGACACGAAATCCCATTCTCGAGAAATTTCTATATAATTTTCTCCTTGTGTCGAATGGAATGAATTATATAAATAAAAATTATTACAAATTGTTACAGAAAGAATATATCGTATCGTGGTGATTTTTGAAATAATTTCGTGAAATCTTTCAATATGGAACGAAAGAATATTTTCTTTTCTCGTGTTTGAGTAAAATTGCATTATATGATAAAATAAATTGAAAATATTTGAAAATATCTTGTGAAATTTCTGTAACTGAATTTAAGATAGAATCGAGAAATTTTCTATGAATTTGAAATTTTATAATGAAATTGAAAAGTTAAAAGTTCGTAGATAAATTATAGAAATAAAAATTTTTGAGAGAAAAATGTAATAAATCTTTGATTTGAAATGACGATGGAATATATAAAGAACGAATAATCGATAAAATTTTTTCGAATAAACAAATAGTAAAATATTTTATTGCGAAGAAAGAAGAAAAATAAAATAAATATTTTATTTGAATAATAGTTTGTTTATTATGTTATTATTATGTTATTTTATACGTTCAATCCTACTTTGAAAAAGCATTGCATAGAATATTCAACATTTAATTCTTAACAAAGATTTTTTAAAATTAGAACTTTGTTATTTTACGTTCGAATAAAATCGTATTCAATTACATTTTATTATTAATTTCGATTGCATACAGAGCTTCGTAGTATACAAATTTGACATTTTTATTTTTCGACAAACATTTATTTTTGAAATCGCTTCAGGCTAATTTTTATATTCGCCGTTATATCGTATGTGACTCTTTTTTTTTTTTTGATATTTGGGTCCTGTTTTATATCATTTAGCAAAATTTTAGATTTATTTGTAATATCGAAAAAGAATTTTAATTCGAAAAATAATATTTATTTATTTAAAGGAGTCGCTCAAAAAAATATTCGAGACGGAAAAATCGATTTTGAACAAGAACAAAAAATTCCATAATTTCTTTTGCACAATTCTATCGTTGAAAAATATGTAGCACATCTTTGATTCTCGAAACTATTTATTGCTATCAGCGATATCTTTTTTTGTTGGAAAAACTCATTTAAATTGCGTGCCTCTGAATTTGCTCGGCTATTTGTTTATTTATATTTCTGCGAATCGAATTGAATCAGATCGTATACACAAGTTGATATACAATTAGACACTTACAAGAGAAATAATATACTCTCGTACGAAGTACGTGAGTTGTAAATATAAAATTCTATTTCTTCAAGAGATCGATTCAACGAGATTAATGTTTGAAAGTAAGAAACTATTCTGTTATAACTGTTCGTAGTTATAACAAAACATGATAATATGGTCTTTTAGAAATTGAATTTTCGTTATATTTTATTCAAAAAAGTGTAGATATAACAAAATATATGTATACATATTTTATAAATTATTGAATTTTTTTTTTACACGTATAAGATAAAATCTCAAGAATATGTTAAACTTTACAGTCTCATCACGTGCTTCTTCAATTTGAACAAATATACCAACAAGCGTATCAAAATTTAAAGAAATATTGATTTATCATGATATAACCTATATCATTATACCTACCATCTTTATTCTTTCATATATGAATTAACGATTGATCCATACAAATATTTATACATTATAAATTCTTCAAAGAAAAAAAACAAATTATTCGTTCTAACTAATATTTGTATCATAGAATCATGCCTTAAAATTCATAATTTCCATTCAATTTCCTCAAATCCTGCCAGAATTTTCCCTCGATCCATTATTGAACGTTGGATAGGGCAAGGAAAGTGGCATTTTTGAAACACGCGATACACGAGTGTTTGCAGCCGTTTTCGTAGTTTTCTCGCATGCGGGCGCCATTTTGTGCCCGCTAGACGCGTCACGTGACGGCTAGATCGTGAAATGGCGGCGCAATTGTGAACAGAGACCCAGATCCCAACAACGAAATCGGATGGATCGGATAGAAAAGAATCGCTTATGGCGCGAATTCGTGTCAGACATGCTTTTCACGAACACGATTCCCTTTAATGGCGTCCATTTATGGAGAAGCTGTACGAATCACAACAACGATGGTGATCTGACAAATGTTACTCTGCATGGTGGATTTATCACGCTGTAAAAGCAACCAGGAAATTTATTGGTAGCGCCAATGTGGAGGTTTAGCTTTCGAAATATCGGTTACGATTGAGAAATTATGGATAAAAATAGACAAGATGACGGAAGATCTTCGCGGGATATATTTCTTGGCAGTTTTAAATGGCGGCCATTTATCGTCTTCTTGTAAATTACGGATTGGAGTGTTTTAGTTGTATAAATTCAATTGGATCGTTCTAATACATTCTTAAATTAATTTTAATACTCGATTTTAAATTTTATTTGTTGAAATTCTTTTGATGTACAGAAATATTAAATTTGATTTGCAGATGTGTTTAGATACGAAGAATAAAGTAAGATTCTTTTAGGTTTTTTATCTTCAGAGGATCTTCTAATGTAACCTTTGACTTTTAACGCTATATTAACGAACTTTCAAATAATTTTGAATCCCCAATAAATTGGATAAATCCTTAATAATTTTTAACTTGAAAATATACTTCTTCAAAATCAACGATCCATAAATCGCGAGAATTTTAAAAAAGAAATGTAATTCCTTTGATATAAAATTAATTGAAATAGATCCAGAAATTGTTTACAAACGTGAATGAAATCGTATCCTATTCCCCATGAGCAACAGGTACGAGGAACGAATTCCTGAATATATGAACGTTGCGTCACCATTTCACAGCAAATCCCGACAGCAAGGATAACAAAAACATTATTCGTTTTATATATATATATCTTCGATAGATAGTTTGATAACGTCGAACGAGCATACTCTGTAAAGCACTAGTAACTGAAGTATACAAATAGCCCGGGTTGTTCACAGACGATTTTCAATAAATCTTTCTTATCTCGAATTTATCCCCCCCTCCTCCCCCTCCAAAAACGTTTCTCCTCCTCTCCTTTCCACTTTTACTTTCTACTCAACTTTAACCCTTCGAGAAACCCTTGAAAGTTCGTTCGAGGATCGAAACGAACTCGTCACGCCTCGTTTAAGAAATGGTCGATTTATCGGCGAAACGTCGTCTGTGAACGGCCCCTCTGGAAGAATCTTGGGTTATCGAGAAATGACGTAACATCGAAACGCAGTACACGCAATCAGGTTGCACGACGAGGAGGGATCGGTTTTCGATGTGTTCGTGTCGCCCTCGAGAAAGAGAGAGAGAAAGAGAGGAAGGACGATTTTTTCCTTTCCTTTTTTTCTTTTTTCTTCTTTTTTATTATTGTTATATATATTCTTCTCGAGAGTTACAACACACTACTCGATCGCTATCATTTTTTTTTCTTTTTTTAAAGAGCAAACGACTCTCGAAGGCGGCACGAACGGCGTATAACAGATATCGATCTCGCGACAGAAACAGCCTCACGTTGTTCGACGTCGTCGTCATCGTCGTTGTCGTCTTGCGGGAATGGAAGCACGAAAGAGATGGAATCGATGAGTATCAATGTGCGAGGTGTAAGATGGAATTATTTATGAGGGAAAAAAGGGGAAGGAAGGGAAAGAAAGGCTCGTGAGAGTATTTTGTGTTATTCAATTTTGGAAGAGCAAGATTGGAATTGAGAAAGAAAAGAAATTCGTGTTCACACAAGGCATTGTGAATTTTAGGAGGGGCAATATATTTGGACGATTAGATAATTGAGAAGCGTTGGTCACAAGAAGCTTTCAGTTACGTGTTGATCGTAGTCGTCGAGTTATTTCGAGTTGTGAAATAACGTGTCGATTGAATAATCTTAATGTGTATCGTTATAAAAACTTTGTTTATATCGTATTTTATGAATTTTAATTGTAATTTGTCATTTTTCTATTGTAAAAAAATTTAATCATCGTAAACTTTAAGAAGTTTCAGAATGAAAAATATCAAAAGACGAAATTTGTTTATCGTTACAGTGATAAAAATGCAATTATGAAATTAATAGATGATGGAACGATACCGAATAAAAGAAATGATTTTTAATTAGAATACAATATTTGTAATCTTTTATTGGACTGAACAAATTGCAAATATTGTTGATTTCCTACCAACTTTTTTACCAACGTTGAAACAAGCTTAGAGAATTTAATTGCTGGAAAATAGTCGGACAAAGAAACGATTCTAGATTAAAACCACAGCAAAGATTGAAGGTAAAATAATTGCTATCAAAAGAATAAACAGACACAGCAAAAAATTAATTAATTTCCATCGTGAAATCAAGAAAGAATGTTCTCTAAATACGTAAAAATACACAATCGATGTACAGAAAATTTACAATTTTTGTAATAGTAATAGTTATCGTAATTATTGTAACGATCCATCATTATTTTTCATTCAAATTGTATACAGTTACACGGAAAGTTATTAAAAATTCGAATTATTTTATATTCAATTATTCACATATGTTTAAAAAGAATATTTAATGAAATTAAATATTTAACAACAGATGATATTGATCGAATGCCATCAATTGAAATGCGAGCATGGAAAGTGACACAGATTCCGATTTCACTTTCGCAAGTTTGCGATGAAATGAACGAGTTTTTAATGGGGAAACTTTTTCCACGATTTTTCGTGACACCGATTTCCATTTCGAATCAAAATTTCTTGCATCCTTCTATCAAAATTTCCAAATTCCAATTGTGCTCGACACATGATAAGATTCTACGTATCCAAAAAACACCGATTTATTAATCATTGTACTATACATTAATTCTAAAACTTCTATAAATTCCATAAATTTAATACGACTTTTATTTTTCACAAACAAAGAATAAATTTTAATCACGATAATCCAATTATCATTCGAGAAAATTCAAAATCCTATCGATCCAACGATTCCATACTCTACTTTCCATAAATTGAGAGTATTAATTCAACTCAACCACCGATTATTCGATTATCAAAAGTTAATTCATACGATTTTCAGTCTCTCGAAACGAAATATTAAAATAATTGCAATTGTAAACTCGATGTATCTCGGGATTATATGTATCTACCGCAATTGTTCTCAATCGACACGTCACGAATAACGAGAGAATAAAATAACGAGAGGGATTATTCGAGACGACCACGATCAAGGGCGAATATCGACGAGTCGAGACGACGACGTCGACGGGGACGATGAACGAGTGACCGAGATAATGGCCACCGTCACCACCGTTTGTTGTTCATTTCCACGAATATGGACGGCCAGGACAACGCGTGCCCGTGTCCCGTATACGTGTTATACATATCCATATATGCATGAGGAACGTTGGCCAGGTTAATGGAGAATTGATTACGTACCAGCTCGGAGACCAATGGCACCGATTTTCGGCGCGGCCGAATGTCCGGCATACTGTCGATGTTGCTGTAGAAAGGATTGTCCCCCGGATGCCTGGAAGAAAAAAATTCATTGAAAATTTTACGTTACGTAATCACGATTGAAATTTTCTTTCGAGACAATTTTCTTTTCAACGATTGTGTAAAAATGAAATCGATGATCGAGATTGGATTTGATCAATATATCGGAAATATTGATAGTAGAATTTTGATAAAATTTTGTAAATAATGAAATTATTAATTAAAAGTTAACGATTATACTGTTAGAATTGAAATTGAGTTACAGTGAATTTTGATTGACGTTTTGACATTTATTGAGGTAATAAGAGACACGTTATATTTTGTTTACAAAAAGAGATCGTGTCATAAAATGTTTACGTGAAAATATAAATATTTATTTAAATACGAATTCATTATTCAAACAGGATTTAAAAAGCAGGAATAAAAAATTTTTGTTGAAATATCGATGAATGATAATGTTCTTCTGTTTTAAAAATATTTTTAAAAGATTATTAAAGCTATTCAAACCTCTTCACGATTTTATAACGATTAATACACGATAGGAACGATTGCGTGACAATAAATATATCTGATCGTAATAAATCTTTGCCGAATTAGGTGGACGAATCAGATTAGGGGGTAATCGAACTTTTCGATTAAACGGAGAATTTCGTCACTGAAGAAGACGAGCCACTTAACCGATCAGAACTTTTAAGGAACCCTTAACTCGCCTCCTACTTATCCGATCCTCTTTTCTCATTATCATCAAAGAAGGCTTCTCGAGGCTTTTATCGAAGTTGAAACGAATTCCGGAAATTAATGGAATAATTCTTTCAAAATAATATAAGAAGAAATTGATATCGAGCAAGAAATTATCAATTAATAATTAAAAATATCAAAGGATTATATAAATGGAGGATTATAAGATCGATTATGATTTATGTAACTTGAGAATCTTTTTAATTGTTAAAATTTTATAAATTAATTAAGCCATTATTTTCACATGTAAAGAATAGATTCTTGATTTTTTAAACGGCTTCTAAACTCTCTATTACAAACTCTTCAATTATAATATTATAATTAAAAGAGTGTTATAGATTGAAAAGATTTTTCCATCTGATTACAAACACGAAAACTGATATTTTGATAGCAATTAAGATCGTTTCATTTAAACCACGACCTAAATTCCTACTTAATTATATCGATTTCGTTGGGAAATTTATCATTCAATCAAATTAAATGGCTTCGTTAAGCAATGTAATCTGTCACTTTGAAACCGTTTCTCTTATTATCGTCTCTCTTTTCCCTTCACTTTTTTATTTAGAAAAACACGCAAGTACCTTTATGTCAAGTACATTCAAATTTCTTCAAATTTCTCAAGATAATTATCGCAACAAAGAGTTCTTTAAAATATTAAAATGTTAAAATAACTTTTGTGTGTATTTAATTTCATACAGTAAGTTCATAAAGGAATAAGCAATGTATTGTAAATATATTATTTTATAAAATCTCGATACAATCAAGTAATTGATAAGATTCATAATATTGAAAATTTTCTTAAATAACAATTATCAAATGATTTCTTTTTAATAAAAAATTTAAAAATTTTTTTAAATTGAATTAGAATGATCATTATAACAATACTTGTTTTATTTCAAGTACAACACTCGCAAATTTTGCATAATTTAATTTTTATTTTTCCAAAACTTAAGAATTACAATTGTTGCAATCACTATTGATTTTTCCACGATTTTTTAATCAATGTAACGATCAAGGTTCGTTAATTTTTTTTTTTTTTTTCCTTTTTTGAAAGATCAAAGAAGGGTAATCCCCATTGAAATCCAACGAAAACGACTTGGAGCAATTTAATTATCGAGCAATAAATTTCCCATATACGTTGAAGATCGATCGCTATTATACCAGTTTAATTAGCAATTCCACGTGCTCGTAACGACTAAACGTTGAACAAAGAGACGGTCGACTTTTATGACGAAAGTATCAATACAAATGGGGGGCCTTGGCTCTCAACCCGATATATAAAGAAAGAAACAATCCGATCTGATGCAGAAAGAATCGATTCATTACTTCGCGATTAATTTTTTTAGAATCAAATCGGAGAACTAATGCAACGAAATAAAACGAATTAATAATTCTATGGATAACGATATATGACCTATCAAATTTTAAAATTTTTTTCGAATCAATTCAAAAGGATTAATTGCGTCGGTGAAAGTAAATAAATTTTCTCGAGATATTTATGAAAATATCGGTTGAAAACATTTTAAAATAATTGATCTTAAAAGCCTCGAGAAGAGAAAAGCAATAGATACATTTTGTGGTTTCTTTTGGATATCTTGGCGAAAGAAATCGAAGAAAGAAATTGTCTTTGAACTGAGATTATCGATTACGCCGGAAGCCAGAGGTCGGAATTGCAACGATTAAGTGGCACTTTCAGCGTTGACCCCCTTTAAGAGGCTTGTCACTCGATGAACATCTTGGTTTTTATGTCAACCGGTGTCTGGATCAAGAGCTAAGCTTTGTTGTATCAAATGGATAAAGAAAAGGATATCGTTCTTGGTGAATGAAATAGTCGATGGAACGATTTGTTTTTGTAATTGGAACTGAAATATTTATTGGACTTGGAAATATTTGTAATTTGTAATGAATACGATAATGAGAGTGAATTATTATTATTAAAAATTTAATTCTAATGGAACAAAGAATAATTTTTTAATAATATAAATATAATCATATGATTTAAGATGGTATTTTTTATATTTTTATATTATTATAAGTAAAAAGTATAAATGAAATAAATCAAATCAATTAAGTTTCATTTTATCTAATTAAAAAGGAAAGACAATCTGACAGAAGCCTGTCAATTTTCCTGTCATTGGAAAACCGAAGAGAATTTTTATAGAAACGTATCGACAGGATTTTTATAACATCTTTTCTCCGATTTCTTTCTCGACCAAATGAGAAATGAAAGTCGTGGAATTTTATCCTAGAGAATTTCGACCAATATCTCTGGCGACGAATTGTCTTCAAATTCTTTCTATCGAATCTATTCTTACGACTTACGTTCACGAAAAAGGGACAGAAGAGAATTTCAAAATCTTCTCAGGATGACAGGATCCCGTACGAATGCGAACTATGAATGCAGGATTCACAGTTATTCCCTATAAAAATTTTTTCCCCCTACTTTTCCTTCGTTTTTATATCCCTCAGTTTTGCCATAAATCATTTTACTTGAATTCCTCGAAAGTTTTTCCAATGATTTACCTCTACGTTGAAAATATAATTTTCAGAAGTTCCAAAATGAAAGTTCTTTTCGAAAAATTGCGTAATTTCCGATATAATCTCGCGCGTTCACGTTTTCATACATAATTTTTATCTGCTATATATTCTATATGATAAAAATAAAAATACAGAAATAATTTGGATCATCTATTTTTCTAATCTAATAAAATACTAAATTAAAATTCAACTTTCGTTACAACACAAGAAGAAGACTATTGCTATGTTTTTTCATTGACAAAAATAATATTCCAATCATCAAGGTCGCATACATACACACACAGAAGAAATGCATTTTAGAAAATATTTGCAGAGAAGAGAGAAAGAGGTAAAAGTAGCACGAAAACGTGGTGGTAATTACACACCACGTTGATCGATATTCTCGTACTCACCCGTTGCCCCGTCCACCGGATTCGCCTCCAGTTCCGCTCCCGTTCTAACAAACAAAAAAACAAGTTTATTAAGAAACAAGCCTAGTAACAGTTCGAAAAAACCAAGGGGAGGACGCGCGTTCGCGCGAACGACGGCGCAGGCGTACGAAAAAATATTGTACACAGTCTTTGGAAACGCGTGGCCATCGAAGAACAGAGAAAGAGAGCCTTTCCAAGAAGAGAAAAAAAAGAAAAAAAAAAAAAAAAAAAAAAAAAAAAAAATAGAACGAAATTCTGTAAACTCGTCTTTCTCTCACGATTCTCTCATTTTCTCACTCTCCCTGGTTAAAAACCATGTGACAAGGAATTGTGTGACAAGTGAATAAAAGAGACGAGGATCGACGATTCTTCCCCCCTCGTTTTCCATGGCCACGCACGCACAATGCTTTGCCCTGTACACAAATCAGTCTCTTTTCGTCTTTTACTTAAATATAATAAAGAAAAGCTCCGATGGAACGGAGAATCGAGCGTTGATCGGGGATCCGAGAGGAAGAGGGCGCGACCCTTCCCTTCGAGTTAGGCAGAAAAAGGGAAGAGAGATATCCTCGCCGTTTCCTTTCTTTAACACCGTTTCTTCCAACAAGGACCATTGACTCGTATATTAAAACCTTCTAAAACCTTCCATCTTCGTTTCTTCCTCCATCGTTGTTCGCGGATTGAAAATTCTTCATCCTGATGCATCGAACTTTCTTCAAATCTCCTTTTTCCTCTTTTCGTCTTTTCTCTAAACAGTCATTACATCCATTCTTTAATTTCCTTCTTATAGAAGCTACAGATGATGCTCTCTTTAATCAAAAGTTGGAGAAACGATTTTTTTTCCTTCTCTTTTTAAACTCTTGCCAATGGTCTTTCTTCCTTATTCTTATTCCTCCTTATGTCTCCTTTTTCTTTTATCCAGCTTCTGTTATTTATCTTTTATTATTCGACTCTCTTCTATTCATCTTCTGTTCGAACCATCACGGAGCGGAGGATTTCAATTTGATAGTCTTCGAAATTTTCGAAATCTCCAAGTTTTTCTATTAACTGCTTCTTCCTCTCGATCTTCCCCCCCTTCACCGTCTCTCTTCCCGCCATGTTTTGCACGCTCGCCTGCGCCTCATCTGCCCATCCGTCTCGTTCGCCCGGTGTCGCACGGAGGAATGGAAGATTGGAGACAATTGATGGTAACAGCCCGTATAAATATTATTATCACGTACAATACGTTTGTAAATTTCTGTCACGATAGAGATACAATATAAACTTATGGATAGCAAGTTAACAAGTATATTTATTAGAGTTTAGAGCCGCAGGTATCTTCTTCTTCTTCTTCTTATTCTTCGCCTCTCTCTTTTCTCTTCTCGCTCGCTCCTCTTTTTCTTATTCGACCACGTTCCACGCTTTTCTCCGTTATTTACCTGTCCACCTCCATTACTGCCCTAATTCTCACTCGTTTCGCGTGAACAGTCTTTTTCGCGGAAAAAGGGGGGTTTCTTTTCACCCTTAGAGAAGCTTATTTAGACAACACTGGAGCACGACGATTTTTTTATTTCGTTATTTTCGACCTTCTTCTTCTCTCTCTCTCTCTCTCTCTCTCTCTCTCTCTTCGTTTTTTTTTCTCTCTTTCGCTTGCCCGCTTTATTTTGTTTGTCGTTCAACCACGAAGTGCCACGCCTTCGAGTACGTCTTCTCTGACGCGAGAATCATTTCGATTTCTTTTTCTTTTTTTTTTTTTTTTTATAACAAATGGAGTTTTTCGTCGAATGAAATAGAGAATGTTTTTTTTTCTTGCCATTGTAAAAAAGTCGAGTAGCAAAAATAGGAAGCGAATTTTAGAATCTTTTCTCTTTCTTGTAATCTTGAGTGGAACGAATGGAATGAAGTTGGGAGTGTGGAGGAAATTGGAATGGAATGATCGTGGGAACGCGTGAAACGAGATTGATTTATAAATGATCGAATTGAAATGATGGATGTATCGTGTATATAAAAATGTGTCGAATCTTCGTGCTTTTTGCACAAGTTGGAATAAAAGGTCGCATAATAAAATTTTGTATCTTCATAGGTAACATGATGAAACTTGAAAACGATAAATTTGAAATACGTTAACTGAATTTTATTATAGAAGAAGAAAATTAACACAGAATTTTCACGAGTTTAAAGTTTAAAATATAAAATTTTTATAAGAAATTTCTATAATTTATTAGCAAAAGAAAAAAAAAAGAAAAAAATTATTAAAAGATCTAATTCCACCAATTTTTAACTCACAAAAGATACACAATTGATTTAATAACGCTTCTCCGAACTATTTCTTTAATACGCAAATAATAATTCCAAAATACGCAATAATATTTCCAAATAATTTATCGACCTCTCTTCAATTATTTCAACGAGCAACAGTCTCTCTCTCTCTCTCTCTCTCTCTCTTTTACATCTCCAAACCTTCAACCTCTTCTCTGAAAGTTTCCAACTATCAAGGCGTAGCAGGTAGCAGCAGTACGTGGAAATGCGATAAAAGGGGAAGGGGGGAGGGAAACAAAGCTCGTTTCGAAAGGGATAGCATCCACGGATCCATCCCCCGTCAGAGAAGGCGCAAACTCGAAGGCGTGTCGATTACAACCGAGTAGTCTACTATTATAACGCGTGTATAATCTACGTGGAATAGCATCGTCGCATCCGCGAGTAGATATAATTCTGAAAAAGCGTTTTACTTAACAACGAAAATACTCGTGTACTTATTACACATCGCTAACAAGTTTTTTTTTTTTTTTTTTTTTTAACCTATTTTACTCATTTTAGGCCTTAACAAACGTATCCCCAAACCCTCTTTTTTCTTTTTTTCTTTCTTTTTAGATCGGCCACGATCGGCGTTTTCACGGATCGCCTATTAAATTCATCCTAGATCGAGGAATCTCTCGATAAAATGATTTTTTTCTTTCTTTCTTTCTTTTTCCCTTCGTCGATCGAAAGATAGATCGTATCCCTCCCCTTTTTTTTTTTAATCTTTTCTTCCCGATTTTATTATTCCTAATCTCCGCCCTTAGAGTTACGAAAAATGGTTTAGAAAAATGGCAAACGACATCGATGATGATATGAGAAAATGTGCGCGATAAAACGATGTGAACGCCTGGAAGGACACTGCGACGAATTTTAATTTTAACGCTCGAGGAACATGAATATTGACTAATTTATTAATATCGTTTTATTTATTTATTTATTTATTTTTTTCGGCGATATTTCGTTGGTCAAGGTAGATACACTATCGGCTAAAAGTCTAGTGCTTTTCGATCCTTTCGTACGAGTCGATATAAATTTATGCGTTTTTCTAACAATAATAACAATAATAATAATTCGAGAGATTCTTGTATTAAAAACAATTGTTTATTACGATTTGATAGATTCATGTTGAAAGTTTTCAATTTATAGAGAAGTAAAGATGAAAGTAGAATTCTTTCAAATGATTTCTTCCCTCTCTTTGTGACTCGTCGAGAAGTCGTGAAAACTTCAAGATAAAAATGATCGAATCTCAAAGTTCCTAACTTCTAATATTTTTACTTTATATATTATCCCGTCAAATTAATCCCAATCTAGCAGCAGATAGTGCAAGTACCTATCTTACTTTTGAACGTTAACGGCATTCAAGGGAATAAGCCAAGATTTTAAGAATCGCTATACTCTATAAAAATCGAGGAATTTCATTCCTTTCATTCAATTAATTCGCTATAGAGAAATCTAATTAGAAATTTTGCCGTCGCGGTGCCTCGACGAGGTGATATTAGTGAAAAATGTTTTCAGAGTTACCTTTGCTTATCCACGCCCCCCCCTCCAAGAAAATTTGGCGTATGAAAATTGAGATTTTTATTAAAAAATTGAAGATTGATCGACAACGAGTCACGAATAGCTCTTACGATGATATGTGGGAAGAGTGATTGATATACGACATTGATATTCACTATGATTAACGAAAATTCTTCGTGAGTGTTCGCTTTTTTCGCAATTGGATAATTTAAAATTTAAATTGTACACACATCTTTTCACCTATGATTATAATTATTACACTTTGCACTTATTGCAATCATATTTGTTAATTCGTTTAATTCGATTAACATCTTTAATTTTTGCACGAGAAAAATTGAAATGTTAGTCCACACATGTACACACTGATAACTATTATTATCCAATCAAACATGTCATTTTATGCACTCTCGTTACCTCTTTTCTTAAACCCAATGTCAATAGAATTATCAGCAATTTAAACATAGTCACACAGTTGAAAAATTGAAATGAGCGAAGAGGCAAACTCATCATAATTCTTTAATCTCCAATTTTGGAGGGATCGATTAAACTTTTTTTTCACTTTGGAAAATTAGCAACAGTATCGAAATATCTCGATGATTTCAACACCTGCGTGACCAACGTTGGAAGGTCGAGATATTTTTAACCGTTTTTTTAACCTTGTTCTCCTTCCTCGATTATACGATAGAAAGCATGTTAACTTTTGACACGGAGAGAAATATATCTTACCGATTACGCGAAAGTTGCAAATTCAAGTTTGCCGAAACTTTTAAGCCGGAGTATAACTACGCGAGAAATACTAGTGAAGATTTCTAGAAAAAACTAGAAAGCCACGCCCGTTAATTTTCCAGTTAATTTCTCCAATGAAAATAAAGTAGCAAGTAACCACCAATTTTAAACAACGAAGAATTATTAAATTGGAAAGTTAATGAAATTTACACGCGAGTCTCTTTGTGTTAAACATAATTATATATAGGATCTGCCGATGTTGTGAATTTCTCATCTATTTGACATTTAAACAATTTCTGATTAATTAAGCAACAGGTCGGTGTTGTGTACGACAATCTATCAACACGAAGAATATTTTGAAATTTAAATTTCATGCTTCGCGATATTTTGAGAGATTTATCAGTGATCATGATCTACGTTTCATTGATGCAAATAAGGCAGGAAATAGAAATAGATTTGAAAAATACTTTTTACATGTAAATGACTTATTTTAATCTAATCTCTTTCG